AAATCTCAATAAGTATGTTATGTATCTTTTCAGAACTTGGATTTTTTTATTGTGTCAATCTAAAGGAGGTGGTCTTCTAGAGCCGGGTAACCACTTATAATTTTTATTTGTTGAATTTTATACATTAAATATTTAATGGAATAAAAATCAAATTCATGACTTTACATAAAATATCTTGAAACTTTAAAATCTTTTGATTAAAATTAACTAATAATAATTAACTCTTGATAGATTACGCTCATAAATGTTAAATTTAAATCAATTTAAATTAATCAATCTCTTTTCGTTTAAAAATATTCAAATTTTAATACATTTATTTTTGTTTCTTTTTCAGAACCTGAATTTTTTTTTTTATTGATTCAATCTTAAGAAAATGTCCTTCAAGATCTTGGTAACCACTTATCAATTTTTTTTTTTTAATTTTATACATTTAATATTTAATGGTTTAAAAAAATTAAATTCATTTAATTTATATAATATATCTTAAAACTTTTGAATCCTATGATTGAAATTAACTTATTATTTTATTTCTTAATAAATCGCATTCATCATTATAATATATAATTTTATTCAAATTAATCAATCTAATTTTTTTTTTAAATTTCAATTAATTTATTTTTTTTTTCATCTACCTAAATCAAAATTTCTCCAGGAGCTGGGGATTCCCTTTTAATTTTAAATTGTATAAATATGATAATTTTGTAATTTACTTAAAATATTATTAAAATCTAATAAATTATTTAAACTAATGCTTTTTGTCTAACTATTTATAAATCTAGTTTAAAAATTCTAAATTAATTTATAATCTTTGTATTTAATAATCAAATAATAATATTTTAATTCAATATAATAGCTACTGCTGTATCACTCTGGTTACACCATTACTTGCCAAATGCTATATCACTGCATCAAAGACACTCTGCACAGGAGCATTTCTGAAAAAGATTATTTATCAATAATTGCTGTACATGGTTCAAGAAGGATATACAATTATTTAATGGTATTTTTTACCTTGTATGGTATTACAAATATATATATTTATTTTCTTATTTTAAATGGAAGATAAAGTTTATTATTTACATACATTTTCTCAAGTTGTCATTATGCTTAAGATTTGACATTTTAGTCGTAGAAGAAGTAAAAAAATTTGTAAAATCAGGTGTAGAGGGAATAGGACGCAAGTTCTGGCATATCATGTGTGACGTTTCGGCCTCGTTCCTCTTCTACTGGCTAAAAGGTACACTTAGTCATTGACCTATAGATGGGCTGCTATAAAAAAATGTTGGACAACAAGATTGGTTGACGAGGAAACACGATGTTTGAGACATCACATCAACATAATCGTACTATCGGCGTCCACCAAGAGACACCAATTTTCGGAAGATTCCACGTGATTATGAATGTTGCCGATACCAATAAAGTATTGATGCTTTTCTTTCGATACAAGTACTTTTTGTATTCGATACCATGGTTATGATACTGATATCGATAAGAAAATACTGGTATCGAATGAACAGTATTGAATCAAATACTAATCGCCATATTGGTTCAAAAATCAAAATACTCGAATGCTATCGTACAATAATTATTTTCTAATAAAATGGTTTGTGCGCGTGGTGGTGGATTTGTTTACATAAATCAGTCATCACACCATAGTCTATACTCTATACGATTATATTATTATTTCCACGGACCAGAAACCACGGTCCACTATAGAATACATAGACTTCTATACTAAACTAGATAAGGTACTCGCGTTATCGGATGAAGCATTATCAACGTTAGGTCGCCATTTTGTTGGTTGGCAAAACATTATACATTTTGTATCATGCACGTGCTAAGTGAATTATTATTTTAGTATTTTATACAGTTATACATTTAAATACGTTATATTTTAGTTGTTTTTTATTATATTAAAGTTATAATTATTATGCCAGTATCGTGCGTGGCATTTGGATGTTCCAATAGGTATAAATCCGGTCAAAATATTCACTTTTTTCGGTAAGTTTGATTATGTGTATTTAAAATTAAATCAACGGTTTGGTATCTATACTCATAATTCCTAATATATAGATACATTCGTTTCTATGAATCATTAATACCTGTTTTATTATATTAATTTCAAAAAATTAATCTGTTTTCATTATTTTATAGATTTCCTTTGAATAATGAAAATGTAAATCAAAAGTGGATTATTGCATTGAGACGAAAACATTTTATACCTACCCAATGGAGTCGAATATGTAGTATTCATTTCATTGAAAGTGATTATGAACTAAGACCTGGTACAACTAAACCACGTTTAAAAATTGATGCTGTACCATCAAATTTCCCATCTTTTCCTTCTTACTATAAAAATTCTGCCAAACGTCCTCGAAAAGAACCTACAAAAAGAAGTTATACACCGATTGATGTTCCAAAAATTGATACAGGTTTACATTTAAATTTGATCCATATCCTGAATTGATAAATATTTAAAATTATTAAACCTTAGACCTTGAAGTAGAAGACAATTCACTGGTTGAAAATAGTGATGGTTTTCTAAAAATACATTCTGTTGCCGATAAAGAAGTTCAAACATTAGAAAATTATGGAAATGAACTCTTCTTAAAAAGTAAAATCAAGAAATTACAACAAAAATTAAGAAGAAAGCAAAATAAAATAAATAATTTACAAGATTTACTGAAAGACCTAAGGTATAAAAGTTTAATTGATGCTGAACCAGGAAATATTATAGAAAATTGTTTCAGTGGTAATATTTTATAATTATTCTTAAAAAAATTGCATTGCTTAATTTTCGCTTGGTATATGCAATATGCATGCATGCTAATGCTTGTTAGGTACTATATTGGATTTAAGTGAAATAAAAAATAATAATAAAGTAACTGGTGCACAATATTCAACAGAAATGAAACAGTTTTCTTTGACTTTGTATTATTACTCTCCAAAAGCTTATAATTTTTGCAGGTAATTAAATTGTATCTACACCTGGCTTATTGCTTATGGTATGCATAAATGTTATACTATGATATAAATGTATAATACTATTATTATTTTTTTAGAACTATACTAACTCTTCCTCATCCGTCATCTATCACAAATTGGACTTCTTCAGTGAAAACTGATCCAGGTTTTTTAGAAGAAGTATTTGAGTATTTAAAGAAAATTCCAGATGGTGATAAAGATTGTAATTTAGTTTTTGACGCCATGTCAATACGTAAAAAAATTATTTATGACGAAAAAAAAGACAAATTTTTAGGGTACTGTGATTTTGGAGGTATACAGGTTGAGGCACATGAGACCCCTGCAATCCAAACATTAGTTTTTATGCTTGTTGGTCTCAATGGCAAATGGAAATGGCCTATTGGCTACTTCTTACAATCGAAAAGTACAGCATCAGTACAAGCAGGATTAATAAAAACAGCAATTATAATGGCAAAAGAAGCAGGAGCTAGAGTGTGGGGTGTAACCTGTGATGGTACGACCACAAATATATCTACTATGACACACTTAGGATGCAAATTTAGTGGCTTGTATGATGAAATTGTTGAGTGGTTTAGTATACCTGAAATTGATTGAAAAGTAAGGTTTTAAAAACAAATTTAATTTAAATAGTATGTAACTCAATCTATTCCTATGATACTGGCTAGATCTATTATGTTCCTGATGCTTGCCATAATATCAAATTGGCCCGCAATGCACTTGCAACTTATCAACAGTTCAAAAGTAAAGATGGTGTTATTGATTGGACATACATCAAAGATTTAAATAAAGGTAAGTGAAGTATTCTATAAAGATTAATTATTTTGAAGTGATAGGGTAATATAAAATTAGTTTTGCTTACATTTTTATAGTTCAAGAAAAAGTAGGCTTACATGTAGCAAATAAATTAACTCCTTCTCATATTGATTGGAAAAAAAATATTATGAAAGTCAAATTGGCTGCACAAACATTAAGTGCGTCAACAGGAGATGCATTACAATTTTTAAGACAGATAAAAGAGCCTACATTTAAAAACAGTTGAGTTAAAACTATTAATTAATACTATAAGATAATTTCCAATGATACATTTATATTTTTTTTTTTATACAAGTGTCACATTTCTCAAATATTTATTTCTCACTTATATTTGAAGGTGAAGAAACTGAACATTTTATTCGAGTCATTGATCAAATATTTGACTTTTTAAATTCGCATAACCCATATGGGAAAGGTTTTAAAAAACCATTATACAGAGATGATATGAATAGAATGCAGTGTATAATGATACCTCTAGTGGAGTATTTACTCAATCTTACAGATATCAAGGGAATACCAATTTATTTGACTCCACGCAAAACGTTTGTTATTGGTAAGTAATTTATTATTATTTAAGTAATATATCAAGCCCATGACTATTCCTTGGCCCGTTGCTAACTTATAGTACTCCATATTTACGATTCATTAAAATAACTGTATATTTACACTATAATTTATATATTTAGGGTTTGCAATAGCAGTTAAGCAATGTTCAGTTTAGCAGAAGACATTTTTCAAAGTACCCAGTATAAGTATATTCTAACTTACAAATTTTCTTAAGACCACCTGGAAATGTTTTTTTCAAAAATTAGGCAACGTTTTGGAAATAATAACAATCCAAATGCTCTTGAATTAAAAACTGCCATGAAACAAATTCTGCTAAAGAATTCCATAACGTAGTCATATGCTGCTAATTGCATAGCTCTGGACAACACGTGCACAGAAAGCGTGTTTGAAATACGTTGGGCAAAGAAAAACGTTGAAAGTTTAGAAGAAGAGGAAGAAATACCAGATTTATTCACTAGTATAAATAATAAATTTGATATTGTTAAAGACAATGTTTTGTAT